AAGACTCTCGTAGTGTACTCCAAATGCGAGAGTTTTGGGACACCCTGTATGCTATAGAGGGGAAAAAGGAAAGATTTTATGACAAATCATTCTATCAAACTTATGACAAATCATTCTATTAAACTTATTCATTATGTCAGGTTTATTTCATAAAGCAATTCCGCAAAGTGGTGTTATGGCGTGTCCTTGGGCCTTTACTGAACGAGAACCACATACAAAGAACATGGGTTTTTTGCTTGCCAAGAAACTGGGAAAACCGACTGCAGATCCGAAAGTCGCTTACGAATTTCTCAAAACAATCGATGCGAAAAAGCTTATAGAGACCCAAGAGAAGTCTCTCGTAACAGTAATTATCCGAATATTTAATTGTACAAATATATAATAAAATATAAAAAATAAATCTACATTATATATTGTATGAATAAAATATACTCTTTAATAATATATTTCCGTAGGAGCGTCAAAATCTTTTGATGTTTACACCTACTTTGGATCACGAGTCATCGAATCCAGCTTTCCCGGAAAATCTAGAAACGTTTATACATCGTGGGGTTAATGTACCATTACTTTTAGGTTTTACCAGTTGCGAAGGATCTCTTATTATGAGCAATACTTCTCAAAACCGTGAGTATATTTTGTCCTCCTTACATATATCCTTAATCAAATCAAATTTTCATAAAATTTATAAGATGTTTTGTTAAAAATAATATTGATATTAAGCTGATGTTTAGCAAACTTATATTGTTTAAGTGTGTCTAATAACTCTTTTTTGATATGAAATAATATTGAATGTACAGCTACAGTTCTAATGCCAGAAAATTACAATTGTATATCAGGGAAATTTTATTCCAAAATCATATTTTTTTATTATAGGTTTTGTAGGTCTTGTTTAATTTATTTACTATTAAATTACTATTAAATTAAAGTTATCATAAAATAATTTAATATTATATTTAAGATAAACATTTTTATGTAGATATATAGGCATTATTTATTTATGTTACATTCTTTCAACAGGCAATATTGTATAAAAAATTTTAATGTTTTATCAAAAAATAAAATTCTTCCTCGACATATTTAATTAATTAATTTCTTAGTAGAAGACTTTTTAAAACATGCATTGTTTATCATGTAACTGTATAACGGTAAATATTAAAATGACCATAAAATTATTTTAGGCATTGGCAAAGAAGAACTGAAAAAATTTGATTCAGACTTCACAATAGCCATAACACCAAGAGTTTTATCAATATTACCAAAGATACCGATCACAGTGGAAGAATTACGATCTATATATTTTGGCGACAAAGCAGTGTCAGAAGAAACTTTAATAAATTATGTTAATTTTATTGGGGACGAGTTGTTTTGTCGTTCTATAATGGAGGTAACAGATATTCAGACAAAACTGAATAGAAACAATAACAATGCGACATATCTGTATAAATTTTCATACGAGAGTGAAACTTCTTTTACAAAAAAATTATTTAACATTACACTCCCAGGTATGTTCACTTTAACATTATTTAAAGATAAAAATTTTAATTGTAAGGAATATGAGTACGTTCGTATAGTCACTACATAAATATGTTTCAATATATTTCTAAATGTTTGGTTTTAGGATAAATTTAATAAAAATGATTTCTTTTCAAAATATTTAAATAAAAGATTGAACTGTCTTTTAAAGTATTTAACAAATAGTAATTATATTAATTGAGAATATATATATTTTGCAGGAGTAACTCATGGTGAAGAGTTACCTTATTTATTTTATTCTAACATGATGAAAGATTTCGGCCTATCACCACCTGCACCTGATTCAGAGGACTATAAAATGATGAATTGTTTAACACAAATGTGGACAGATTTCGCTAAAACAGGGTATTATATAGGGTTTAATTCCTTCTTTTTAATTTTATATATAATTTTTTTCACATTAGTATCACATTATTATTAGTCTTATTAATTAAGTATTAATAATTAATTCTCCATGTAATCTAGGAATCCAACGCCTATCACAAATTTGTGGTTACCGGTAACAAACTCACAAAAAGGAAATTATAATTATTTAAATATCGACAAGATTTCACAAATGAAAGTTTTCCGTAAAGGAGAAGAAAGTTGGGATTGGAAAGAAAATAAGAATAAGTCACAGCATTAAAAGTTTACCTATGTTATAACAAATATACAATATATATAATAAATATACAAATATACAAATATACAATATATATATATATACAATATACAATATATATATATACATATGTATATATGTATATACATATATATACATATAATAAAAATATAACATATAAGTATACATATAAATATATATTATTACATAATTATACATATTATACACACACAC